AAGGGCCCGAAGAAGGGGCGGCTTATACTTATGAGGGGTGTGAGTGATATTCTACCGTAAAACATTCATCAACAGCGGTGCCCTGCGCGACAAGAAGTTTAGTGATGTGCGCAATGGGCGTGATTCTTTGCCCTCCCACTCCGTATATGGTATGGGCCAAATATAAGCACGACAATTGCAGAGCGATGCTAGCTGGTTGGCATGGTCAGAATGGTCCACTTGCTCAGATGACTGTGGATCGTGTGGTGTACATATGCGAACGAGAACCTGCTTGACAACGAATGCGCTATGCGTTTGTGAAGGGTAGGTCTGGTCTCTAGCCATTTGATAGGTATCTGAAATAACGTTATGTCTGTTCAGACAATCAACACTGATCGAATACTGTAACTTGGAGATCTGCCGTTATCCTCGATCAACTTGCTGTTATAATCTAAGGGTTCATCATGCTTACTTAACCATTATGGATCTGCAAATGCTAGATGAAAATATTGATTTTCCAGGTCACATCGTACAATGGAATTTTCGCCTGTCTTGGAACGAATTCCTCCGTGAGCACTGCAGCGCGAATCACCTCAATTCCATCGTCAGTGTAAAACTGACAACCGAAATAAATCCACCCATTGATGTTTCATTGTGTTCTATTGATCTACAGTTATTACTCAAAACTAATGAAAAGTGAATAACGATTAATATTCTTGTTATATTTTTATTTATAAGAAATGATTTTGATGACCGCTGGGGAATGCGCGCAATAAATATTTTGAAGTGACTGGTCTTACTCTTCACCTTATATACCCTCAATTTCGGAAACGAGAAGAGCGTCGAGTGCAGACCACACACCACAAGTGACGACGGCCAAGAAAAAAGTGGTTTTCTTTTCTTTTCTTGGCCGTCGTCACTTGTGGTGTGTGGTCTGCACTCGACGCTCTTCTCGTTTTCCGAAATAGAGGGTAGCTTTATACAGGGTGGGCCAAAATTATGAGGACAGCGTGTGCGCGCGTAATAAAGGCCTGTCAGACTCTCGCCACTTTCCCGAACTTTCATGCCTCTCGCGCTCTCTCATGCCCACGTGAGCCTGAAAAGTAGCGAGAGTCAACGTGCGAACGAGAGGGTCTCCCGCCACTTTCAAACATTGCCGAGTCGCTGGTACATCGTTCGATCTGCTGGTACATCGTTCGATCCGCTGGTGCATAGTTCGATCCGTCGGCGCATCGCTCGCACCCCGCGAAACGCTGAATTCGCAAAGTCTGACACGAACCTTTTCCTCTGAGTTTCTTCATTTCCATCTTCATTTCTGCGCATTACGTGATCAGGTGCGATGTCTTCTTCCTGCTAAAACTTACATCACGCAGTTCTCGAAATTAGTGAAACAATCACATCACAGTTGGCAGTTCTAACCAGGAAATGCTTTGAACTTCCCATGGAACTTTGGAAGGAGACCTAGATGTATCGATAGAGTCTTGAACGCTGATTACAAATATGGACACTAAAACTGCTACGTGAACTTCCTAAGAAAGTTATGAGCCTTCAAAGTTGGCAAAAAACGTTACTGAGGCGAGCTTACCTGGTGGAATCACAGTCGTGGCTCTGCGCCAAAAACGAGTCTCATATTCGTAATCAGGGCACCCATTTACCCTTATAGAACAAGTTCCAGGCAAAAAGCAACCGTGTTTCCACATAGGTTGCACCTCATCATTAGCGTTCTTTTGCAACTTTTAAGGCTCACAACTTTCTTAAAAGTTCACGTAGCAGTTTTAGTGTCCATATTTGTAATCAGCGTCAAGACTCTATCGATGTACCTAGGTCTCCTTTCAAAGTTCCATGGGAAGTTCAAAACATTTCCCTGGTAAGATTGAACCCACTAGGAGTTCCAGCGCGATACACCTAGGGAAGTAACAAAGAAGCCGATATGGAAAATGGTTGAACGCTTCAATAAGTTCGGGACC